CCAGCAATGGTTTTTCTCAGCCTTGTAAACTTTTTCTTTTTTTCCCAGATGTTTATGTCACTGTCTTGAAATAATCAGTCAATCCAAGGTTGATTTTCACTTACTTTTCTTTACGGGAATTGTCTGGACACTTGGGCTTTAGTCAACCAATATTTGTGCTCAAAGTGTATTATTCTGTTAGACAGTGGTGTAATATTACATTAGGTTTAATGTCATCAGGCCTATTGTTTTATATGGTTAGTTCAGTTTGATTTGGTAGAGACATGGCCCAAGATGTAAGAACTAATGGTACTGAAGTCATCTATGAAATGATCAGTTTGGGCTCATAGTGCAAGGGATGGCTAGCATTTTTCAAAAGTTCATGGCCCATCAGCTATCAATTCTTTTCAGCATACTATCCTCCTGGTAAGCTTGTGACATTTCTGTCTCCTTTTTGTGTGTGTTTAGATTTCAGAGTAACTTAGGGATAGCTGGCAAAACTGTTTGTGTGTTTAAATCACAGTGTTCTCTTCTGGCATTGGTTGTTATGTGTTTGGAAGTGACTTGCAGCCTTCTTATAAGACACTGAAACACTTTCCAGCAGCTCTCTTGCATTATCATATCACTCTCCACTAGGCTTTCATTCAGAAGATAGGACTCTTTCTACAGGAATATTGTAACTATTGATCATAGTAACTAACTTTCACCTGAAAAACTTTTTGCCCCTGAAATTTCTCAATGCTAAAAATTGTGTTAAGTCACTTTAAGTCATTCGATAACTTTGGGATGTCAGTCATTAAGTCTTTAAATGTTAGTCAGTCATTGTGTCATACTTTCATTGGGTGTCATAGTTCATTATTTGCAGCTATGTCTTTGAATCCAATTGCTCAAAACTTTGACTGAAATAAATCATTTGGACCCAGTAAATCAAAATTCTGGTCATATTGTTTAATCCCAAGGGCAAGTGAGTTCAATAATCACACTCTTTGACTGGTTACACAATTTCCCTTCTGACACCACATTATGGCACAATTTAATATTTGGAATCTTATTTGGTTGAACAGGTTGGTGTGGGATTTAGTTTTGAATCGACTTCTTATGCTCTTTTCTTTGAAGTGAAAATGTTTTCTTTTTTTCTATTTTGTTCTGTCAGTAGTAAATTAACTAAAGAAAAATCTTTTCTTTCTTTTTCTCATCCAAGCAGCAAGCAATTGTTTCTTTACATTCTACTCAGACTTATACACAGGCTGTTTATGTATACTTCTTTGAGTTTTATTTTTATATTTTTTTTTTTTTTTTGTTAAATCTAAGTTTGTTTTTTCTTTCACAGTTGATGTGAAACAGTGATGGTGCTCTAGACTTTTTGCTATGCACACATTCATGTCCCTTACACAACACTTCTCTATGTCATAGCAAGAAACTTTACATTGATGCTACTAGACGACTTGAACCAAACTCCCTTTGTTGAAACCAAGTCATAAAACATGAACATTCAGAGCAGTTACTTTTATGTCTTTGTTAAGTACCCTTTTCAGTCCTTGCGATCTATGAGGCAGATGATGTAAAGGGCATCAGTTTCACGGTTAATGAGGGTGTCAAGTGGCCAGCACAATGACCAACTGCCTTTACTTTTCTCCAATCGATGTCGGGTAACCATTAGAGCTGGTTGGACTTAGAGGTGTCCTAAAATCTGAAATTCAAAATTTCAGTCTTCACCAGGATTCGAACAGGAACCCTCAGTCTTTGATGGCTTCCTTTAAATGTTAGATCCCCGACTGTTCTTAAAACAGCACCAAGCATTTTGATGAAGGATATATTATAGGCAGACAAAACATTAAGGCTAATCACCAAGCAACACTTCTTAAAGGCACCGTAGAATGTTTTTAGCTGTAACCAAGCAGTTGGAGGTCAACTGTTTCTGTCTAGTTATTTGGACAGGCCAGTATCATCTTCTCTTGTCTTAAATTCCTTTCATCCCTTGGCTGCAGGTTCTCTTGTCATGCACTGACCAGATGTGATAGTTGGTTAGGATCAGGGTAAAAACTGTACAGTTTTTATAGACACCTTAAAGCCCTTTTCAAAACTGTCTTAACTTTATCTGTTTTGTTGTTTACTAGAGAGATGCTTAAAGAAGGTTTTTGTATGGTCAGTATGTTCCCATTGTTCTAGTTGAGAGAACCAATCTCTTGGTTTGAAAACAAATTATTTCTACTCAAAGTCTTATTTGTTTTAGTTGCTGGAGTCTAAAAAAAACCCATTGTGTGTGTGTGTGCTGCAGGATGTTTTAGTTTCCAGTTGTGATACTATTTATCTGAGTTTTTATTCAAAATGTTAGTTTCTTGCTACAACTTTGTCTTTCTCCTATAAAACTCAAATTCTGAGAGACATTGAAAATGGGCTTTAAAAGTAATAGACTTTATATTCCCAGGCAATGGAAGTTGTATCAGACCAAATCACTGCTTAGTCATTGGGTTTCATATTCAATTGAGTTTTCTTTGCAGATGCTTAGGGTCTAAGGTAAGGATAAGAGTGTTAGACTTCATTTTTCATGCTTATGAATCTAATGTGACTCTGAATTAACTGAAAAAAAAACTAAAAAAATTGTAAAGTTTGAAATATTTAAAATGTATACCAGTTTAACTTGGTTTCACCTTCTGTTTTGTCCCACATGTAAATAAATAGAGATGTTCATGTGTTTCTGAAGTGACTGAATGCTGTGGTGCTTTCTTTGTCCAACATCTTTCCAATTATTTTTTTGTTTTTAAATTTTGTATTTGGGCCAAATGGTTACTACTGGGCAGCAACTAGTTCATCAAGACTTTGACCTGCAACATCTTATCAAAGAATACATTCTATTGCTCAATTCTATACTATATAGAACTTCATATAGAACTATAGATTTGGAGTTTCTCTATTTGTATATATATATTTACTTGTATAGTTCTAGCCCATTTCTCATCTCTTAGTGAATTACACTTGAAGACCATTTCCCTGTCATAGTTGAAAGTTTTGCATTTAATACAAGGAAGAAAAAAAAAGCTGTTAAGTCACTTGCACCTAATACCATAAATGTTAATGAAGTCTATACATTGTATGCATCTTTTTTTTTTTAATATAATATAACGCTTTTTTTGTTGTCAATTTTATGGGTTTTGTTTCTTCCATTTTCTGTGGCCACCAATAGCATTGTATCTTATGTACACTTTGGTTTGGTAGTAGTGTGATGTGACACAGCTTGCTCCATCCTTTTGAATGACATATTGTAAGCAGCAAAGTCAGTGGAGAATAAGGCTCAGTTCTAACACTTTGTAATAGTTATCTAGTAATACAGAGGGGAAGTCTCAATAGTGAGAAACAATATTTTGTAAACTTTGATCATTGAGGACTTTTAAAACTTTTTTTTTTGACTTTTCAAAACTTATTTAAACAAAAAAAAGTTGTGTTTATTCTCGTGAAAAGTTGTGAATAATCTTCCAAATGTTTAAATCTTGAACTTGTTTCCTGTAGACTAAAGAACCATTGTTTAGAGTCGAGTGACTAGTTGTGTGAGAATGTCTTTTATTTCTTGTTCATGTACCAATTAGTCTCTTTAAAACACTTAGATTTGAACCCATTGTTCTGTACATAGTTCATTCTACCGTTTTGTTGACCACAAAATTGAGTATTTATCTATTTATACGTCTCTACCCTTACACTATTTATCTAGATATTCATCTGGTATTACAGTGACTGGACTGGTTAGAGGGGGGGGGGGTGAGGAGGAGGAGTATGTTGTTTTTGTGTGTCATTAGTTTTGAATTCAAGTCTCTCTCCTCTTATGTCCATATACTATGTGCCCATTACTCTAATAAAACTTTGTTGGAAATTTAATCCCAGTGACTTCCCTTTTCTTTCTAAGGAAATAATTTTTTTCATTGGCCAACATGGTACCAATGTTCAACGCATTTTATTTTTTTTGTTCCAGGAATGGACTGTTCTATCTGTCTAATTATCTTCTTAAACAACGATCATTTGAAAAAGAATTTTTTTTTTTCTGAGTGTTGTGTCTTGCCTGTGACTTTATTCTTTAGCCACATTTGTTAAAGCTTTCTCATTTATCTGATCAAGTTAGGAGAATGAATGAGAGTCAAGTCTTCATGAAGCCTCTGTCATAAGAATTGCAGCAACTGTCTGTATTGTAAAAGGGGAGTGGGTAAAACTCTTTCAAATTAGTTAAATATTTGAGTTAAAAAAAACCCAAAAAACTTGTCATTGTAGCTCTTTGATTTGTATGAATATGTAATATTTCTAAAAACATAAAGGAAAATGCATTTCAGTGTCAGTGGCTAGACTAAAAGAAATCAACACATTTTTAAGCACTGAGTGTAATGCCTTGGCTTAAATTTTCCAAAGCAAATTTAATTCTTTGCATACTCTAAGAGATACTTGAGTGTAAATAAATGTGTATAATTGAGAGATTTCTATTTCTCTCAGACTAATGAAGTCAGAAACTTTCCTATGAATGTCATAATAATGTGCTTAGTGTATCAACTAAGGTCTGGCAAACTGCACATAGAATCTATGTTGGACATGTGTCAGCTTGTTTTACCCTTAAGATGATTGTCATGAGGAAGATTTACACAGTTTAGGTTGAAGCCACTAGATCTAGTTTTAAAGGAATTCAGGTCTTGAACTAAATCACTGCCAGTGTTTCAAGTGAGATTAGAATGTCGTCTCCTTGTTAGAGACTTTGATCTTTAAAAATTTATTTTTTTTCTTCTTTCAACTCAGCACTCTGCTTTTGTTTCACTTGAACTTTGACCCCGGATGAAAACCACCAAGAATCTTGTTGCGCCAGTTTGCAAGCGAGTCTGTTGCAAAAGTTTGCTGTGAATCGAAATGGTTGTATATCTAGACATCTCAATCTAATTTTCCCTGTCAAAGCTGGCAGTCCACAAGTTCATTTTATCTTCCTGTTCAGTTCACCTGTGCAAGTTTTTTTTTTCTATCCAAACATACTTATTGTAGAAACTTTCAATTGGTTAAAATCAAGCTACATTTGAACCTGTGTAGAGACTTTCAATTGGTTAAAATCAAGCTACATTTGAACCTGTGTAGAGACTTTCAATTGGTTAAAATCAAGCTACATTTGAACTTTTATGGTCTAGTTTGTTTTTGGTTATCTTGTAAGAATCTTTTTTTTTTTTTTTTTTTAAATTGAAATCAGACCAATTTTTTTAAAGTAATAATTTTTTTTTTTAAAGTAAAAGCACTAAAAACATTTAAGTTAAACTATCCTAGTCATGTCAGCTTGCCCTGCTGATTTGTTTTAATGAAGAACTTTTTTTTGTCCCCTAAGTACAGAATGTACATCTATCATGTCTTAATTGCTTGGTGCAACTAGTACACTACAGTTACTATTTCACACATCTTTGAAACTAGTGGTTCCGAAACATTTTCTTTAACGAAACACTTCGCACATTTTGAGCGTGGAACACTTAGCTGATTTTTTGATGAAGATTAATTCATGTGTTGGACTACTAGTTAGTGGGAACAACCATTCAGGCCTGGCAGAACATAGTTTGGGAAACACTTGTTTATAGGGATAAAGTTTGGGGGAGATTTGATGCTAGAAATAATGAAATATATAACATATAAATGATGTATTACATGAAAGCTAGAAAGGGTTTAGTTTTGACAGCTGTCAATTTTTTTCTTTATAATTTATCCTTGAGAATATTTTATGATCCAACACTTCAGACTGAAGGCTTACAGTGCACTTTGATGAATGTAGATTTGTCTTACATTTTGAAATATTTTATTTTATTTTAAAATTGTATGTCCTTTTTTTTTTTTTTTTTCTGTAATTTTTGTGCAACAAGAGTTATTATACTTGTTTTTTGACTCTGCAATATGCTACCAACTAATGTAGAGACTTAAACATGTGTGGCATTACACATTGTGCAGAAGGAAGTCACCTTGTGATAGGATGTCACACAGGAAATACAGTATTGTAACATTTTTAAACTTCTGTCAATGTTTAAATTTAAGATTTTAATAAAGAAGGGGAGGATACTTTTTTTTTTTTGTTTTAAATTTCTGATACCAAAGATTGTCCTTGCTTTTGAACCTTTTTGAGTTGCTGCCCTTGAGACATTTTTTTAAAATTGAACAGGAAGTGATGTGGTGGAGAATGAACATTTCCACTATTTTTTTTGTTTTCAGTTTTTCTGTGTCGTCAATATGTTAGCGTTCTCTCTCTTGATTTCTCTCTGAATGTGCTGTATAAATATGCGTAAGTATTTGCTTTGTTATTAATAAGACAATAAAAAGAGAAAAAAAAATGGACTCTTGTCTTGTCAATTTTGTGTCTGAGGGGAAAAAATGTCCAACTAGCAAAACATAAAATTTTATGTACCTATATCAAGCCTAGATCTTCTAAACTAGTTGTAAACACAAAATAGACCATTGGTATAACACGAACATCGCTTTGCCTGCAACGAACAGCCCCGTTAGGAGACAGTCTTCCCACATAACATGACGGTCACATAATAGGAATATGAAGAGATCCACGGGGGAGGTCGCCCTTTGGTCTCTGCAAGCGTATGTTTAAAGACGAACACCCCCCTCGCCTTTAAGATTATGGAACGACCCATCATAGTGTAATTTTTCATTCCATTAAGTATATTTGTGACAGGAGTAGGGTTGAAGAGGTCACTGTCAAAAGAACTCCAGGTGCCATGTTTCCCTTAAATCCAGGTTGCGCATTTAATCAAAGCCTCTGACAAGTTAAAGGTTAATTGATGGCGTGAAGGCAATAAGCGCAGTTAGAAAACTAAAAGAACTGGCAAAGGGAGAGAGTCATTTTCAACTCAGTTATCTAATCTTTGTAAAATTTGATATTCTTATATCCCCTATGCTTTGCCTACTTTAAGCATTGAATATGCTTTATAGTTTATACTATGACAGTGGCGTAACTAGGGTAGGGGGGAGAATTTGAAAATCCACCCGTGCCCCCAATTGAGTGCTTTTTACATTAGATATAAAATATTACGCAAAACGCAGGGGCCCCCAAACGATGGAAAACTCCTAGCTACGCCCCTGATACTATAGCCGCAGTATAGCGTGTTGGAAAAATGTTTAATCGATATTAGGGGAGCTAAAGTAAACCGTATGAACGTGGAAAAGATTAAAAAGAGATTTGGACATAAATTAACAGAATAAACAATAAAGATCATGGGCGCAGCATATTGATACATTCCTCTAGCCAACTAAATAAATAGCTTCCTTTATTTTAGTAAATAATTACCCCTATAAATATTACATTACAAATTATATAGAAAAATCAAGCTAAAAATTGTGTAACGTTTGCCACCATAAAAGGTTTTGATCTAACTGTAAACACAAAAAATAATTGTGTTGAAGTAACGTCTGTATTTCATAAGATAAGATAAATTTGAATAAATTACACCAATACCGACTTCTTTATTAAGTTAACGAACGAGACGTCGAACAGACACAAAAATAAAGGCACATTCCTCGTTCCATATGCTAGGACAAATTTGTACAAATACTCCTTCTTCCCTAGTGCTAGTAGAGCATGGAATGGGTTGCCTGAGCTAGCTAGGAAAACCAATGACTTGGCAGAATTTAAGTCATTGGTTAATATGCATGACTAAATGCATGACGCGTAGGACGTAATCATCTTCTTTTTCGAAGTAACGTCTGTATTATATAAGATAAGATAATCGTGGAATAAAAATATTATTGACATATTATATATTTTTGGTGAATTTAAATTATGACTGGGACTTTTAAGTCTCGCCAGTAAACAAAGGGTTAAAGTGAAAGGCTAGAAACAACAAAAACATAAAAAAATACTTTTTTAAAAAAAGCTTATATGAAGTGTAATTATATTAATTTGTTTTGATCAGTCATGGAATTAAATTGTGTCATAGATCTAAACCAACAATAATAAATCTGTGCTTTTAGAAATAGTTTTACAAACGGACCTCATTCCCCTATCGTAAACAAAACAACATTTAGCCACGTGATTCTCTATCTCTTCTATACAAATTACGATCTAATTTTAATACACAATGGCTATCACGTGACAATTTTTTTACCCGTTGTTTTATAAATGTTATCATATGATTACACGTTGTTTGTTAACGATTGGTGAATGGGGTCCATTGTTTTTGTTTAGCGCTATTTCATGGTTTTAGCTTTCTCAATAAGCTGTGACCCTTTCACTTGTCTGGACCAGTTGGGAAAATGGAAATGGGAAGGGGGGGGGGGGGTTGAGAAAGAAAGGACTAGGCCTATCTGGCAATTTTTTTTTTAACCGTATACGCTTTTTAAAAGCATTTATAAAAACAAAGGGGGGGGGGGGGGGGGTAACGGCCTGAATTCGAGCTCATGGCTCCAGCCTCATAAAGCTGAGATACGGACCACTCTGCTAGGGAGGTAACTACACAAATAGAAGACTATAAGTCTGTTACAAACTTATTTTAAAGTAGTTGCCTATACATAGGACTAATTCAGCTGAAAACGAAATGACTGCGTACAATTTTCTTTCCCTTGTTCGAGATACCAAACAAAATAATTAATTACCAATAGCTGGTAAATTAATTGGTAAGTTTTTTTAATTGATTCTAATTTTGTTTGGTTGTGCACAAATTTCAGTTTGATCCGAGATTTGGTGTCTGAGAGAAAACATTTACATTTTTTTTTTTACCTGACAGACAGAGTTAAGATAAACTTTGTAAAAAATATACAACATACTTTTATCAGTATTTCCACAAAATGATGCAACTTGACAACTTCGCAATACGGAAGTCATTGTAACTCTTCAATTTAAAGTTACAACGCTGAGTCTGTTTTTCTTTACAATTTCCATTGTTTGGTTTTCAAAGAAATGAACGAGTTGAGTCATGAGTAGTGTGGACTTTCTGAGAGCTGGGTCAAGTCAACCTAATCAAAACTCGTCAGACGTTGGAGAAGCTGGTCCACCAAGTGTTAAGGTCGCGACCTTTGAAACTGTGAGTACTGAAATACTCTGGAGCCAACACCGTGTCAGACAACTGACGAATCTAGATCTAGATCTAATTAACATTTTATGACTTACTTACTTAGACTTAGGTCCTCCCGCGCCGTTCGGCGCATAGGGCGCAGCTGTCTCCGCAAAGATCTGTCATTGGCAATGTCTGAAGCCTCCTCCCACCCGGTGTCCACTTTTCTGAGGTCCGCCATGAAGGTGTGGCGCCAAGTTATACGAGGACGTCCCTGTTTGCGCTTTCCTTGTATTGGCCTCCATGTAAAAGAAATTTGATGAATCATCCAGAAAATCCAATGACTTAGCAGAGTTTAGAATGCGCGACTAATTATTAGGCTGACAAGCCCACATCGATCTACAGCTCACTGCTTTGTTTATTGCGTCTTATTGGCATGCTTTTAATAGCCGTTTTACTGCGCCAGTTTTCCTGTGTTACTTTCGAAATACATTGTACAGTAAAACTGGTTAGATAGGTCAAGCAAGCAGAATAAATCTGTCAAAAAAAGATAATATAAGGTAAATAGCTGCACATTTACAGCCATACGTCTTATTTATTTCCCTTTTTCTATATCAAGCAAATTTAATTAATTACTAATAATTAATCAATAAATTTGTTAATTTTTAAATTTATTTATGTTTTGTTAGGGTCAAATAAAAATTTCAAGTTGATCCGAGTACGGAAAGTGGGAGATGTACTAGCCCAGGGGTCGGCAACCTTTTGAGTCGGAAGAGCCAAAAAATAGTAGTAACTAAAGCAATTAAACATTTACCTACACTACTAACTTGTACTTCACTAACAAACAATTGAGCAAACAAATTCAGTGGGAGCGATGGCTTTGCATGGTTTTAGAAAGTTTGGATACCTTTGGCTCATAACTTCTAATTAGTTTCAAACACGACTCTAAATTTTCATTTGTTACTTGGCTTCTTATTTTACTTTTAATTATATAGCGGTATCAAACCTAGAAGTTCTTCCTTTTGGACCTTGGGAAGACATATACCTGACAAAAAGGGCAAATTGTGCTGAGTCTTTTATGTTGCAAGACTCATTTATAGCAAGTGATAGGGCAGAAGAAAGTTGAATATCTTCCACCTGCAAGTATGTTACATTTGAAGAGATTTTAGCCAATCTATCTTGTACTGTTTCAGCGGATATGATTTTTTTCCAAGATTTCTGGTTTGTTTTTGAAATCATGAAACAGTTCGTCAGTTGCACGTAGGAAGCAGTCTTTGACATACTTATCATCTGTAAATGGTTTTCCTTTTTGTACAATTTCTTGTGTTACCGCAAAGCTTGCCATATTAGCATTACTTATAGATTGATTCTAAGTTTGAGAAGATAATTGCGTCTAACTCACTTACTTGAAACAACAAACTATATGTCACAGCCAAAGCACGTGGTGAAGATGGCAATTCGTCTTGCGTCGAAAGCGAATTAAAACCTGTATAGAAACAACGGCCAACGGCCGAGAGCTTTCTAAGGACTGGCAACAGTGAAGACGCTTGAAATGGCGGAGAAGTGTGGTGAAAGGCAAGTACAAGTGGCTGAAAGATATATTCGGCGCCTATTTTTCGGAAACGATTTAGAACTATTTAAAAAAAATGTTTCGATAAAATAAATAATATTTGCGTATGGAACTAAAGAGCCGCAGCTTCACACCAAAAGAGCCGCATGTGGCTCGCGAACCGCAGGTTGCCGACCCCGGTACTAGACAGACATAGTGAGTTGATGTAAGAGCTTTCAAAAATTATCTAAGGGAAAGAAACGCTAATTACAGCCATTTATCTGGAAATGTTACGGTTTATTCCCCTGATATATATATATATATATATATATATATAAAACTAAATTAAGATAAGATAATTTTTTTTGATCCAATCTATTGGAAATTCAGTTTAACTACAATTGACACCTCTGCGTAACTTCTGTAACAATAACACTATAGATCGCGATATGGAAAACATTCACACAGATATTATATATTATATATAGGTTAATTTTTGGATTGATTTTTGTATTGACATGAATTTGAATAATTTTTGCAAAATTTCAACTTGATGCGAGAATGGGAAGTGGGAGAAATACATTGTGTCAAAACTTAGTCAGGAAATAGGCCTACAAATCATATAGACATTCACATCTTTCTTTAAGTAGCTTTCTTTTTATATCAAAAAAATTAATTAATCGCTAATAATCAATTAACTAATTGGTACATTTTTTTTTGAATGATTCATGTCTTGTCAGGTACATTGAATAATTATGTAAAGTTTCAACTTGATCCGAGAATTGGAAA